CTCCAGTCTGGTCGACAGAGTGAGACTCCAACTCAAAAAAAAAAAAAAAAAGAATTAATATTTACAGAGTATTTGGAGTATTGGGTGAAGGTTGTAGAGGAAAAAGAGAATAATTGTTTCTGGTCCTCATCTAAAACTATGATAATAATCTCTCCAGTTTGATAAATGACAGTTTCAGAATAACTACCACATAGAGACCACGGAAAAGAAGGGACCTGATGTTCAAAACCTGATTATTTGTTTTTGGTTTTTTTTTTTGAGTTGGAGTCTCACTCTGTTGCCCAGACTGGAGTGCAGTAGCCACTCCTGGCCACCGCAGCCTCGACCTGCTGGGCTCCAGTGATCCTTCCGCCTCAGCCTTCCAAGTAGCCAGAACTACAGGTGCACACTACCATGCCCGGCTAATTTTTTTGATTTACTGTAGAGATGAGGTCTTGCCAAGTTGCCCAGGTGGATCTCGAACCCATGGGCTCAGGCAGTCCACTCACCTCAGCCTCCCAAAGCGTGGGATTACAGGCTGAGCCACCGAGCCCGGTTTCAAACCTGATTATTAAATCTCTTTGTGTAGGGGCATGGTGGCTCACGCCTATAATCGTAGCACTTTGGGAGGCTGAAACTAGAGGATTGCTTGAGCCCAGGAGTTCGAGACCAGCCTGAGCAACATAGTGAGACCTTGTCTATACAAAAAAAAAAAATTAGTTGGGTATGGTAGTGCACACCTGTAGTCCCAGCTGCTCAAGATGCTAAGGTGGAAGAATTGCCTGAGTCCAGGAATTTAAGGCTGCAGTGACACAATCATGCCACTGTACTCCAGCCTGGGTGACAGAGTAAGACCCTGACTCAAAAAAGTTTTTTTCTTTGTGATTTAAAGTAAGTAATTTAAGTTTCCCTATTTATAATTGGAGGTGGTAATAGCTGACTCTGTGCACAAAAATATTATAAAGAAGCATAAAATAATTTGAACTCCTTAAAAGTTATATTGATGACCGGGCACGGTGGCTCGTGCCTATAATCCCAACTTTGGGAGGCAAAGGTGAAAGGATTGCCTGAGTCCATGAGTTCGAGACCAGCCCGGGCAACTTGGGAAGACCTCATCTCTACAATAAATCAAAAAATTAGCCACACATGATGGTGTGTGCCTGTAGTTCCAGCTACTTGGAAGGCTGAGGCAGAAAGGGCTCTGTAGAAAGGGCTTGTTTTATTGGAGGTGGAGATGGAGTTTATGTACTCTCCCCTACCTGTCCTCCTAGGCTCCACCCCCAACCCTTCTCTGTACACTCTCAGGGCTGGGTATACCCTGGTCCCTGTTCTGGCCTGCTTATATGAGCTTGTTATACGTCAACATGACTTTTTTTTTTGAGTGGGAGTCTCACTCTGTTGCCCAGACTAAAGTGCAGTGGCACGCTCCCAGCCACCGCAGCCTCGACCTGCTGGGCTCCAGTGATCCTTCCGCCTCAGCCTTCCAAGTAGCTGGAACTACAGGCGCGCGCTACCACACCTGGTTATTTTTTTTTTATTTTATTGTAGAGATGAGATCTCGCCAAGTTGCCCAGGCGGGTCTCGAACCCGCGGGCTCAGGCAATCCACTCGCCTCAGCCTCCCAAAGTGCTGGGATTATAGGCTGAGCCACCGAGCCCAGCCAGTATTTTTCCATTCTACATTTTCCCTGACTTTCATATATTCCGTTTTCATATGATCTAAAGTTTTTAACAAGGATACCCCTAAGCTCATTTTCAAAAAGACTGTAAATTTGATTTCTTACGTAGGAGCTAACTTGTAATTTTCTGCCTGGTCACAGCCTCTGTAGAAAGGGCTTGTTTTATTGGAGGTGGAGATGGAGTTTATGTACTCTCCCCTACCTGTCCTCCTAGGCTCCACCCCCAACCCTTCTCTGTACACTCTCAGGGCTGGGTATACCCTGGTCCCTGTTCTGGCCTGCTTGTTTCCTCTCCCACACCAGCAGGGCCCTTGCTGGCATATCTCCATACTGGCCTGGAATGTGGATTGAGGAAGAGAGAAGGAACAGTGGGTGCAGAGTTGAGGATTAAGGGTAACCTTGGCAGGAGCCTCATCCAGGCATTAAGAGTTGAGTCCTAAACCTGCATGATGACCACTTATGTGCCTAATCTTAAATTGTACCCCACATCTTTAAAACAAAATTTTAAAAAAACACAAAGAAATAAGGAAATAAGGAAAAATAAATAAAATCTGTTTAAAAATATAAAAAATTTAAAAACAAATTATTAGCAAAATAAACAACTAAGACATGAGAGTAAGCCTGTTGAGAGGAATAAAGCAAGTTATTATTATTACTGTATTTTTCTTATTAATATAGCTATGTTATAATGTCAGTATCTGACTTTTTAAACAGTGAGTCTGTATTACTTTGATAAAAATAAAATCTAAATTTAAATGTAAAAAAAATAAGTTGAGTCCTTAAAGCCTCTCTGTGGGATCGTGGCAAAGATTCCTTTCAAGCTAGGTGCAGCTTGGTATACCTGTAATCCCAACTACTCGGGAGGCTGAGGTGGGAGGATTGCTTGAGCCTGGGAGGATTGCTTGAGCCCAGGAGTTGGAGTCCAGCCTGGGCAACATAAAGAGACCCTATCTCTAACAAAATAATAATAATATATAATAATAATAAGGACTCTTTTATTTTACATTTAAATTTAACTTATTATTATTATTATTTGAGTTGAGGTCTCACTCTGTTACCCAGGCTGGAGTATAGTGGCAGAATCATAGCTCACCGCAAGCTTGGACCTTCTGGGCTCAGGTGATCCTTC